TGCAGCCCGTGCAGGCGGTGGCCGTGGTGCAGTCGGTGCAGCCGGCCAGGCAGGCCTGACACACTTGGCCCGCCCCGTCGGACCAGGTCCCGGGCGGACAGACGCCGACACATGTGCCATCAAGCAGCCAATCACCGGTCAGGCACGCCGTGCAGGCCGCCGGGTCGCCAGGCCGCGAGCACTCCCCGCAGGAGGCCGCGCACTCGAAGCACCGGCCCGGCGAGCCGGCATGCGGGTCGACAGCATGCCCACCGACGCACCGGGTGCAGGTGTAGCCGCTGGCACCCGCCTGGGCGCACTGGGCGCACGTGGGATGGCAAACACACCGGCCGTCGGGCTCCGCGAACAAGCCACCCGGGCAGGCAGCCAGACACTCGCCCGGCGAAGTCCACGCCCAGTGGCGACAGGACATGCACCCGTCCGGGCCCGGGGCGTCGCACGTGGCACACGCCTCATGGCAGGGGGCGCACAGCGGCGCATCCCCCCCGCCGGGGCACTCCATCGCCAGGGCGAAGACCAGCATGCCGACATCCGGCGCAAAGGCCACCAGGGTCACCTCGCCGGGTGACTGCAACGTCCCGACCGGCCCCGGGCCCGGGCCCGGGCCCCCTGCCACCGCCAGCGTCCAGAGCCCGGCATCGGCCGTGGAGTGCATCCCGGCCGGCAGGTCCACAAAGACCGCCGGCCGGAGGACACACGGCCCGGCCGCGCCGTCCGCGCAAAATAGCAGCGACACGCCGATGAAGTGGCGCGCCAGCAACACCAGCGCACTCGGGAACCGGGCCCCCCCGGCCGGCAGGGCCACCCCCTGAAAGAGGACGTCCGAGGACGACCCCCGGCTGGGCGGCAGTTCCCGGGGCAGGGCCCCGAGCACATGCCAGCTGAAGGGCAAGTCGACCGACCGGCCGGACGGCAGCATGTCCCCGGGCACCCGGAGAACCGTCCAGTCGGACCCGGCACCCAGGGGGAAGACCAGCTCCGGCGGGGCCCCCCCCGGGCCGCGGGGCAGAAACACCGGCACACACGGGCCGTCCACCGCCAGGGCCGCCGCCGCCTGCCGCCGAAGCAGCCGCCCACTGAGCGACAGCAGCCGGGAATCCCACGACCAGGGGAGAAACTGCGGCGCCGCACCCGGCAGCCCCAGCGAATTGACCGAGAGGAACCACTCGCCCGGGCCCGGGTCCAGCCGAGCTCGATCCCCGGATCGGACCGGCAAGCCCACCAGCCCGTGGCCCTCGAGCACCGCCGCCGAGACCCTCTGCTGGGTGACATCCGGCCGAAGCAGCAGCCCCCAGGTCCGGGTCTTCTGCACAAATAGGCTGCCGGAGTCGACGCGCCGCACGGCCAGGCAGCCATCCGCCGACAGGAGGCTGGCAGACGCCGGCCGCGCAATCACGCAAGCCGTCCCCCCGGGCCCGGCGGGACACGCGAGGATCACCACAAACGTCGTCCCGGGCCGCAAGCACAGGGCCAGCATCAGGAGCAGCTGATTGTCCTCGGAGAAGGACCGGGTCTCGGCGAAAGCCACCACCGGCCCTGGCAGGTTCACATCCAGCAGGACAACCTCCCGGGCCGGCGGGGCCCCGCCAGCCTGGCCGACAGCGCTGGCCGGCAGGAAAAGGACCTTTTGCTGCTCGGTGAAAAGGAGCATCCCCGCGGCCGGGCCCGCATCGGCGGCCGCCGCCGGGACCACCGGCAGCCCGGTGCCGGGGTCCACCTGCAGCCAGGTCTCCCCGGCGGCGGTGACACTGTCCCCAGGCGCCAGCCCGGGGACCGGGTCGGCTTCCGGCACCGTGAGCCGGGCCACCGCCAATGGCATGCCAGCAGGCTGGCACGCCCCGGCCACCAGGGCAAAGCCCCGCGAGCAGACGGCCACGCAGACGGTCGCCCCGGCCGGGCCGCTCGGCTCCGGGAAGTGGGTCTCCTCGCATACGAGGCAGTCCCGGGCATCGCATGTCCGGCAGTGGGCCGACGCGCAGGGCCGGCACACATGGCTCGGCTCCGACAGGGGGACCTCATCTGCCGCGACACGGGGACAGGCGGAGGAGTGTCATGTGTCAGCGAGCGGCGAGTGGCGGCCCGGACGTCCGGGCCATGGGGAAGGGCCTGGAGGCGGGCCGGCGCGGCGCCGCCCCGGCCCTGGCATACGCACCGGCAGGTCGGTCCAGGAACCACCCATCCATGCAGCCGGCGCACAGTTTGCCCGGCGAGACGTACGGCGCCTCGGCATGACCCTCGGCACAGGCCCACCCGCTCGCTGAGCCGGAGGACACCAGGCCACCGTCGCAGGTGATGCTCCGGTCGGAGTCACACCCGAAGGAGCTCGACTCGAAGAGGGCCGTTTGCCCATGCAGCAGCGTCCACCGGCCGGACCGGTGGTCCTCCATGCGCAGCCGGGCCAGCCGCAGGTCCGACAGCCGGGTCACCACCGGCGGCAGGACCACGCGCTGCCACGCCAGCCCCACCTCCCGGATGTGAGCCAGCCACAGCCGGTCTCGGGCATCCGCGGCCGAGGGCAGCACCAGGTACAGGGGCGCCGGAGCCCCGGCGGTCGAGGGGGCGGCCGGCGTCAGGAACCAGGCCCCGGCGGCCGACACCCCGGCCGGCAACGCCCCGTAGACCACCCCCACGGGCCCCTCGAGCCCGAGGCACAGGTGGATCTGCAACTGGCCGCTGTCAAGCAGGACCAGCACATCGGCCCGGAGCCCGGGGCAACTGCCTCCCGGCACGGCCAGCTGCGTGGCCGCCATGGCCAGGATGGCGCCCGGCATCAGGGCGGTCGAGGTCTCGGTGACCCTGGAGTCCGAAGTCATGATGCACATCAGGTGGTGGCCGTTGGCCAGGTAGAATGCCCGCCCGATGCCGGGCTGGCCGATGGCCACCCCGGACACCGGGGCCAGCTCCAGGAGCTGCCAGCCGAAGCCGTCCGGCGTGATGGTGCCCATGAATGCATCGCGCGGGGCGTCGGCCGGCCCATAGAGCCCGAGCAGGTCCACTTGCGAGGTGGAAAACGCGGTTCCGGCCAGCAGGAGGCTGTCCGAAGCCGGCAGATCAAAGACCATGGTCTCGCCAAAAAGGGCCACCGTGCTTTGGGTGTACTCGACTGCCGTCGGGGCGGCCGCCTCGCCGACTGGCAAAATCATCAGCGGCCAGGTGCCGGGATTGTCCGCCCGCGGACAGTGGAGCTCCATGAAGGACTCCCCAAAGAACGAGCCCCACCGGACCTCCGGCAGCTGATGGACCTGGTCCATTTGCAGGTGCAAATCGAGGATGGTATTGCTCCTCCGCACGGCGCCCGTCGAGGACTGAACCGAGGGCGACACCATCTCCACCGGATCGGACAGGAGCAGGACCGGGTCCCGCGCCGCGTGCAGGTACATGTCCTGCTCCGGCGCCAGCCCCAACACCGCTGGCAGCAGGCAAAGCACCGCCGCCAGCAGGGCCGCCAGCGGGCCCACCCGTGGAGGGGCCATGTGCAAGGGGGGAAAGGGGGGGGGGAGCCGCGGAGGCGGGAGCCAGAAGCGGGGGCGGGGGAGAGGAGGGAAAAGAGGAGGGAAGTAGAGGGAAAAAAAGGAGGGAAAAGCAACAAGGAAGGGGAGAGAATGAGGGGGAGTGGCAAATGTGCCCGGGCCAGGACACGGGGCGGCACTTGATGCATCTCCCCCGGGCCAGCGCCCCCCGGCCGGCGCCTGCCCCGTCCCCATCTGCCCCACCACATGGGGCGCGCCCGGCATCGGCCGGAGTCTGCGACAGATGTGACCCCCCGCTGCCCCTCCATGTTGGGAAGGCATCCCCGCCGGCCTGGGGCAAGCCGGCTGCCGGGCTGCGGCGGACCGGGCACGCCCATCGGAGCTGAGAATACACCAGGGAATCGACGCGGTCGCGGGCATCGGTCCCGAGTCCCGTAGCCGCAACCGCGCGCGGCCGGCGCCCGGCCGCCGGTAGGGCGGTCGCCATCGCACTCGCCAGGGCCGCATGCCGGACGACCGGGGGCCAAAAGCGCGCCCCACCCTCGCGGAGCTGCGCGCCCGACCAGATCGATGGAGGGGCCGCAGCCCGACGCACAGTCCCCTGCCTCGGGTCGCCTACGGCGGCCCGGGCCCCCCCTTTTGTTTGTGGATCTGGTAAGTTTGAAGTGTCCATGCACTGGCACCTGCCTGCCGGGAACATGCAAGACGCCCAGACGGCAGGAGGGATCTCACAAATCGGACATTAAATAAGGGCCGGCTTTACCGGAAATAGCGCCATTCCTATTTGCCCTGGAAGGGCGTCTGCCCGTGATCACCATGTGATGTTGTGTTTGCCTTGGCTCGGCGCCCGCAGGTCCGCCCTCGTGCGTGTGTGGCCGCGAGCCATGCAGGTCCTTTTCTTCTTGAGCCCCTCCCGCGCTGCCCGGTCCGACACAAGACCAATCTCCCAATGCCATGTTCCCTCACCCCCCTCGCCCCGCTTGGTGTTGATGCACCGTGCGGTTGTGAGAGGGGGGGCAGGATTGGCCCGGCCGCCGGCAGCAGTGTGCATTGCGGCGCCCCGCTGACGGAGGACGCCAGCCGGGGGCCGCCGACCGGGGCCTTTTTGCCAGCCGGCCTGCGCCAGGTTCGTGACGTCGCCCGCCAGAGGGTTGGCGACCGGCCGGGAACCGTCAAACACCGCGGCCATGATCTCGGCGATGCTCTTCCCCGGCCAGGGGACCATGCGCGTCAGACACTTGAAGAGGATGACCGAGGCGCTGTACACCTCGGCCGGGAAGAGGTGCCCCCCGGTCCAGGGGGGCACTCCGCTGGGAAGGACCTCCGGCGCGGCACACGGCACCGACATGGCATTCAGCCCCACGAAGGTAGTTATATCGGGACCACCGTGTTCCGGAAGAGGACGTGGCACCCCGGCTGGATATTTGTCGGCCCGCAGCTTCTTGATGGCCACCACCTCCGGGCAGCCCAACCGGGCCGCGATCCCGGGCCCGGCCGACTGCGCGACGTCGACGCTCGCTTCGGTCCCGGCGCCGAGCTGCTCGTCCAGCGGTCGGAAGTCCCCCGCCACGTCCACCAGGATGGCCCCGGGCAGGGCCAGCTTGATGATGGTGCTCAGCACCGTCGTCGACAGGTACTCTCTCTCCATGGCCTGCCTCTTGCGCCGGCGCACAGCGAGAAGCGCCTTCAGAATCAACAGCACCAGCAACAGGCCAACGCGCAAGGAGTCCCCTCGGGCCCGACCAAGGCCTGGTCCTTGCACCGCGTACAGGCACTGCCATCGGTGCACGCGGCACCGGCGTCCAGGCACACGCGACAGGCACCCCCCTCCGGGAAAAAGCCATCACCGGGCAGATCGTGCTCTGGCCCGGGCTCGGCCCGGAACAGCACATGCCGGACGGCATGGCAGGCACGCCTCCCGGGCAGGTGGCACGACAGAGACCGACACGCCGATGGAAGTGCGCGCCCGCATCGGCAGCGCGCCCGGGCGGGCCGGGACGCCAGACGGCAGCTCCACTCCCTGGGACGAGGGCCTCTCACTGGCCCGGGCGGGGGGTGGGCCCAGCAGCATGGGGAAGAGGTCCCCGGCGTCCGGCGGCCAAACCGGTGGTCCATGGACCGGGCAGTCGGCTGCACGTCCCCCCCCGGCGCCCGGGCAACTATCCACTCGGGGCCAACCATGCTGCTGAAGGCCACCAGCCGCCCTCACACTTGACGCCCAGCCGGCCGGCCGCCACATGCGCCGAAGGGGGCATGGCCCGGGACACAAGGCCAAGGCGCTGGCCCGCTTGCCGGTCGGCTTGGCAGACATGCACCGGATGGTGCCGGTCATGGGGCAGCCGAAGGTCTTCCGGTCGAGCAGCGCCCTGCGACCGGACACCCAAGTCCACGTCCCGAAGCCGCCGCCGCCGGGGCCGCCGTTCAGCCGAGCTCGCTGCGGCGTGCCCACCTCGGCCGCCGATGGCGGCAGGAGCGCATGCACCGGCCGGAGGCCGGGGAGGATGGCTGCAGCCGGGGCCGCCAGGAGCCGGGCTCCGGACCCCTCGACCCCGGCCGGCACATCCGCCAACATGCAGCTCCCCGAGGGGCCCGGGTCGAGGCGAGGCCCCGCGGTCGGCCGGCCTTCGGCCAGCCGGAGCGCCACATCCACCCCCGGAGGGGGCATTCACCGACCGGGGAGTCTGCCCGCGTCCCGGCCATGGGGCCAGGATGTCGGCCGGCAGGTTCGGCGACAGGCCACACACCACCGGCGACCCGGCCACCAGCGCCACCTGCCACGGTCGCCTGCCCTCGGCCAGGTGGAAGGAATCCCCGACGCCCGGCAGCGCGGCCGACACCGGCCCTGACGGACTATGCAGACCAGGGGCAGCTGGTTCGCCAAGCCGGCCTGCCCCACCCGAGGGACCCCGGCGTGTGCCGGTCCCACCCCGGCCGGGATCCTGGTCTCCGGCCCTTGGGCAGCGGCTGCCCAAGGGCCGGCGTGAAGAACCTCGCCCTCGACCGGCCGTGCTCCACGACCCAGGGCGCCTGGTGATCGCCCCGGGGAAGGTGCAGCGGCGGCTCCGCGCCGGCCAGCGGGGTCTCCTAGCGGGCCCACGGCTCGCCCGAGAGGCCCCGAGGAAGCCCCCCACCGGGCCTCGCGCGCTGGAGGCCGTCCCGCGCCAAGCTCCCCATGAGCTCGGGCACCCGAATGGCGCGGGCCACGGGTCGGGACTCTGGTCCGGTGGAGAGGATGGCCGGCCCCGCGTGCGTCGCGATGCGAAGCTGTTCCACATGCAGAAAGACATCCTGCCCCGGCGAGAAGGGGCGCCCCACCGCAGCACCGGTGTAAGAAAGATCAAGACCAGGGGTCCAGGGAAAAGCACCCGTCGAGCGGGGGGCCGCCGCTGCCCTGGCCGCGAAGGAGAGCGCACCTGCGCGCTTGTCTGTTTGTGTATGTCCCAGCAAGCGGCGGGACCGGCGGCGGGGAGGGGGACAGGGGGCCAGGAAAAGGGGGAAAGCTGCCCAATGTGCCAGGCGAGGCGTGCCACTGGCACTGCCCGGGGCTCGGGGGATCGCCCGCTGCCGGGACACATACGCCATCTGCCTCACCTCCCAGCCGGTGCCGTGATTCCCACACGGCACCGGGCGACCGGGGAAGGAAGCCTGGCCGGCTCCTGCCTCCACAACGCCCGGCGGGGCAGCTGCCAAAGCACACGAGCCTGGAAGGCTGTGGGGTGGGTGCGCATGTTTGAAGCGCACCCGTTCGCCAGCCGTGCATGCCGGCGCCCACCGAGCACTGTCGCCCATGGGGTCGAGCTGGTCCAACGGCCGTCAGGCAAGGCCCAGGAGGGCAGCCAGGCCGGCGCCGGAAGCAGTGGCCCCCCGGTGCGGACAGCACGCCAGGCCTCACACACCACGGGCAGGCGCCGGGGGGACGGGAGGCATGCAGCGTTAGCCGGGCTCCCATACGGCGGCAGCCGCCGGAGGACCCAACCCGGGGGCTGCGCACCGGGTCACCCCTTTGTATTCTTGGCCAGAGTTCGGCCCAGCGAGGGGGACTGCCGCGCCTGTGTTTCACGATTCCTGCTCCCTCGTCGGCGGCAATGGATCCTTTCCCCCTCGGATCGGGCCTGCGACGCGCGCCCGGCCGCACATCGCGTCTCGATGGCGCGCTCCTGTCGCAGGGGTGGCGCCCCGGCGCTTCTTGCAGCCCATCCTGCGCCAGGAAGCTGTCTCGCCACTTGCCCCCTCCCTGGCCGGGGCAGGGGCGCGTCTCGAGCGCCAGGAAGACGCGTACGCTGTGCCACGCCTCGGGGCCTCTGGCGGGCCTGCCAGGCGCCGGGCCGCATCCCCGCACCCGGGTGGTTGCCATCCGGAAGCTGGTCCTGGCCGGGACAAGAGCCCGGCAGACGGCCCACTGACCAAGGGGCATGTGAGCGCGGCTTTCACCAGAGCACAAAGGCCGCGGGCGCCTGCCCCGAACACACCCCCCCCCAGTGCCGGTTCCCAGGCCCCCGAGGGCCCCTAGACACGCCCCGCTCCGCCGGAAGGAAGGAACCACCGGCCCGAGGTTCGCGTCTCATGCTCGCCCGGGCGAGGGCCCGTAATGGCGGGGATGTCATCAATGCGCCGCACTGGCGCCTCCTCCCAGCGGCAGCCATGGCGCCCACACAAAGGTGAGAACGTCGTGCCCGGAGCCGATGCCGGGCATGTCTTACATTCACCCGCGGAGGGGTGGATGGACAGCCAGCTGCCCCCACCCCCCCCACACATATATATACATCACCCAGCCACTGCATTAGGTGCAGCAGGGACCCTGGTCGTCCTGCCCGCAACGTGATGGTCTGTTGGCCAGGATGGTCCCGAGCTGCCAGCAAGGTCACTGGTCCGGGCGAAAGGGCACCCGGGCAGGCCGGCCGGCCATGGCGTTTGCCCGCCCGCGCGAGGACGCATGTGTGCCTGGCAGGCCGGGCCCCGCCGGCAGATCGCCCAGGTCGGCGATGTGGCTCAGTCGCGTGGAGCCAGCCCAACACGACACGCCACAGTCCCCTCGCCCCCTACGCTCGGAATGCGCGGCCCCGATGGTCCAGTTACATGCCCAGATGGTAGGCCCAGCTGCCTTCCGCCCTCCTGAACCGGGCGTCGCGGCGGCATGGAGCCCCTTCGCCCCGCTGGGAGGCCCCGGGGCCCGAGCTGCGGCCTTGCCACGAGTGGCCGCCCGTGGCGGTGCGCCAGGCCCGCCCGATGAGAAGCCACCCAAAGGGACCGTCAGCCGGGAAAAAGCCGGGACTGCTCTTCGTCGACCGGGTCCTGCGGCTCGGGTCGGAGCCGAAGCAGCCGGGCCCGGATCCGCACCACGCAAGCCCACTGGATGGTGGTTGGGGAAAGACGTCCCGGCCATGCTACGACGGGACGTCTGTGTCGGGCCCGCTCCCCACATGCTGCGGCACCCATCGCATGGCCGCGACGTCGGCGCGGAGCCGGCCGCCAATTGCCCGAGGCCCATCCGACCGGCACGAGCGCCGTAGTGCCGGGACCCGGAAAGGCGCCCCGGCAGTGGGCTCCGGCTGGGGGGTACCCAACATAGTGCCATGCCTGGAGCCACGGGTGGTGGGAGCCCCCTGGCGGCGGGGAGCAGGCGCTGAGGGACGCTCGCCGCACGAAAAAAAAAGCCCCAGCACGCCGGGACCCGTGCCAGGCATCAGGGGCGCCAGAGCGAGGCATGGCGTGCCAGTGTGTCTGGCGGACGGGCCGACGACCGGGCGCATGGGGCTGACCCGACGGCACAGCGAGAGTCAAAAAAAAAAAGAGAAGTGACCCGCTGCACCGCCCCCCCCCCCCCCCCCCCCCCCCCCCCCCCCCCCCCCCCCCCCCCCCCCCCCCTCCCGAGGCGCCATACGCCCCCGCGCGGCCAGCGACAGGGCGGCAGCGCCAGCACAGCGGCGCGGCCCGCCGGCTGGGACGAAATGGTCGGCGGAGGAACAGTGTGTATACCAACAAAAGAGGGGGAGATGTACAAGAGGCGACGAAGCCCCTGCCAGGAGGGCCCGGGTGCACCGCCTCCGGAGCGCGTCGCCGCACGGCCCCTCGACCGGACGGCGAGCCGCCCGCCGCCGCGCAGGAGCCCACAACACAGAGGGTCACCGGCCGGGGGAGGGCACAGCACCCACACGCCGAGGGGCCCGCGGATGGCGGGGCCAAGCCTACTCCGCGGCCGCGGCCGCCATCCAGGCCATGGTGAGCTTCTGCCGGAAGGCCATCACCGGGGGCCGGGCAAACGGCTCGGTGTCCCACGCCAGCGGCAGCAGGTCCGCCAGGGGGCCGGAGAAGGCGATCTCCGGGCGCTGGCCCCCCAGCACGGCCGAGGCAATATCCTCGAAGCCCATGTCTGAGACCGCGCGCACGCACGCAGCCCGACACAGGGCCCACACGCAGGCGTGTCAGAATTCGGCAACCGATGCACGTCCCCCCCGCCCATGGCCAAAGGAGCAAGGCATGCCCACACGCACCGGCCCATGGCAGCCGACGAGCCAGGCACTCCCACAGCATGATGGCCGCGCTGTAGACATCCGCCATCAGGTGGAGCTCCGGGTCCAGGGAGCGCTTCTGGCGGAAGGCCGCCAGGACCTCCGGCCCGGCGTACCGCGCGGTCAGCGCATTCAGCTCCGGGGCCCGGTTCACCAGGGCCGACGACCGGTCGGCATTCAGGCTCCGGCTGGTGCCCAGGTCCCCGAGGGCCGCCCGCCACCCGGCCCCGGGGGCATGGCTGACAAACACATTGCCCGGCTTCAGGTCGCAGTGCGCCACCCCGGCCAGGTGCATGGCCTCCAGCCCGGAGGCCCACTGCTGGCAGATGTCCAAGATGGTGCCCTGGGCCAGGGGCACGTCCGAGTGCAGCAGCGCCCGGAGATCCGTCTCGAAGCACTCCATCACGATGGCCGGCGGCTGCTCGCTGTACCCATACAGCCGGACCACATTCGGCGCCTCGCGCAGCAGCCACATCAGCGCCACCTCCCCCTGGAAGAGGGCATACTGGGCCGGCCGCAGCTGGGCCGCCTTCATCTGCTTGATGGCCACCACGTCCGGGCAGCCCAGCCGCCGGCCGATGCCGGCCCTGACGGCCCGCGCCACGAACACCGACGCCTGGGTCCCGGCCCCGAGCGGGTCCCCCCCGACCGGGGCAAAGTCCTGCGCCACATTCACCAGGATGCGCCCCGGGAGCGACAGCTCCACGATGGTGTTCATCACGGTGGAATGCTCGTCGTCCGCGCCCGCTGCCGGGTCCTGCGCGCGCGTGCCGGGCCGACCGCGCCGAGCATGCCCACAGTCAGTCACACGTCCGACGCGCGCCCCCCCCCCCGGTCCCTGTACCGGACAGCCCAGGGCGCCGGCATGGAGCAAGAGGCAGCCCACAAAGGGGCCGAAGCCGCGCACCTTGTCCAGGGCATGCTGCCGCCGCCGGCGCACAAACAGCAGCACCCACAGCAGGACCAGCAACATGAGCAGCAGCAGCAGCAGCCCCAGGCTGATGCCCAGGATGAGCGCTGCACAGCAAGGTGGCCGGCAGCCATGGCCGTCAGCACACACGCCGCCCGGCGGCCGGAGCGAAAGCGCAAGAAGCCCCCCCTTCCCCCCCCCCTCGGCCAAAAGACACATACCAAGCCGCCGGCCGGGGGAGCCACGGCCGAGGCAATCCCCGGGCTCGGGCCCGATGCAGGCCTTGCACTGGGCGTGGCACGCGGTGCAGCCCGGCGGCGCGGCCGCCCAGTCGGCGAAGTACCCGGCCTCCGGGCATTCGGCCACACACTGGCCGCCGGCGCTCAGCAGGAGCCCTTCCTCGCACCAGGCGCACGCCTCGACCACCGGGCAGGACAGCGGCCCGGCCGGCAGGATGGCGCAGCCCCCGGCCCCGGCATGGGCGCACCGAAGGCACCCCCGGGGACAGGGCAGGCACACGCGCCCCGGCACCGAGGCCAGCTCCGCCCGGGCCAGGCCCTCCTCCGGGCAGCTGGCCACACAGGCGCCGGTGTCCACGCGCAGCCAGGCCGCCGCGTCGTGGCACGAGGTACAGACGGTGGCCCGGTCGACGCACGTGCGACAGGCCCCGGCGCACGGCGCGCAGGCGCCCGCACCGGCCGAGTACTCGCCGGCCGGGCAGGCCGGCCCACACGCGCCGGTCGCGAAGGCCCGGAGGAAGCCCGGCTCGCAGGCATCGCACGAGGACGCGCAGGCGCCCGCCCCGGGCCCGGCGGCCACCGGCGTGCACCGGGCACAGTGCGGGTCGCACATTTCGCACGATCCCATGCAGGCGAAGCTGCCGGCCGGGCAGGCGTCCACACACTGGCCCCGGTGCAGCAGCCCCAGGCCCGGGCAGGACAGGCACCGGTCTTGCTCGGGCCCGTGGCAGGTCAGGCACCGGCCATGGCATGGCTGGCACCGTTGGTCGGCCCCGGCGAAGTAGCCCCCCGGGCAGGCCGCCAGGCAGGTCCCCCCATAGAGGAAGGCCCCGCCATGGCAGGCCATGCACTGGGCGGCCTGCGGCCCGGCGCACGCCGCACAGGCCGGATGACAGGGCAGACATTGGCCCCCCTCCGGGAAGGTGTCCCCCGGGCAGGTGGCCAGGCATTGGCCCCCCTGCAGCCAGGGGCTCGGCCCCGGGCAGGCGGTGCAGCCGGTCGGCCCATGCCGGCCGCATGTGGCACAGTCCCCGTGGCACGCCTCGCACTTGCCGCCATAGTCGAAGCTCCGCGCCGGGCAGCTGGCCACGCAGCCGGCCCCGGCCAGGAGCCACCCGCGTGCACACACCGCGCAGGCGCCCGCCCCGCCCGGGCAGCTGCTGCAATGCTCCGCGCAGTCGGCACAGCCGGCCGCCGTGCGCCCGCTGCCCATCGGGCAGGAGTTCACGCACCGGCCGGTCGGCGCACCGGCCGGCAGGGCCAGCAGCCCCCCCCGGCAGACGGTGCACTGGTCCACCCGCGGCCCGGCGCACGCGCCGCACGACGCATGGCAAGGCACGCACCGGTCATGGACCGAGGTGAACCCCGGCGCGCATTCAATCTGGCACATGCCATCCTGCAGGACCTGCCCCTCTTCCTGGCATCGCCAGCAGTCGCCATCGGTCGGGCCGTTGCAGGCCGAGCACGACTCATGGCAGGGCAGGCAGGTGTGCTCCTCGCCCGGGCGATATTCCCCCGCCGGGCAGGACGGCACACAGGCAAAGAGCTGGTCGCCGGCCGCCGGCCAGGCGTCCATCCCCCGCGCGCAGGATGTACACTGGTCGGCGCCCGGGCCGACACATGCCCCACACTCCAGGGCGCATGGCTGGCACGTGGCCGAGGTCGCCTCGCCGAAGGTGCCCTCCGGGCAGGCCGCCACACAGGCGCCCCCATGCGTCAGGAGGAGCCCCTCCTCGCAGCCGATGCACATGTCCCGGGTGCAGCCGGTGCAGCCGCCCGGGCAGGCCACGCACTCGCCGGCCCCGGCCCCGGCCCCGGCCCCGGGCGCATCATCGGCCCGGCGGAAGCCCGGCGCGCAGGCCTCGCACCGGTCGGCCAGCCCGGTGCACAGGCTGCACGACCGGTCGCACGCCATGCACCGGTCGGCCCCGACAAAGGTCCCCGGCGGGCAGGCCCCGGTGCACAGCGCCCCGGGCCCGGCCTCCAGGAAGACCAGGCCCCCCTGGCACACGGTGCAGGAGGAGGCATCCGCGCACTCGGCGCAGGTGGCCTGGCATGTGGCGCACCGGCCGGTCGCCACATCGGCAAAGGTCCCCCCCGGGCAGGCGGCCGCGCAGCCGCCCCCCGGCGTCACGAAGAGCCCGGCCTCGCATTCGTCGCACGCGGCCGCCCGGAGGCAGGCCCGGCACCCGGCCGGGCAGAGGGCGCACTTGACCGACGAGCCGGCCGCCCACCCGTGCCCCGAGACGCAGGCCGTGCAGTCGGCCACACCGAGGCACGTGGCGCAGGTCCCGGCGCAGCCCCGGCACCGGTGGTCCTGGGCGTCGAAAAACTCCCCGGCCGGGCACACCTCCGTGCACAGGCTCCGGACCAGCGGGTCGGCGCTCGGGAAATGGCGCCCCGGGGCGCATGTGTCGCACGCCAGCGGCTCGCTGCACGAGGCACATGTCCCATCGCACAGGCCGCATGTCCCATCGCCGGCGGGGAAGTGCCGCGCGCGGCACCGGTCGCACGACTGCCGGTCCGCGCAAGCCTGGCACCCATCGCCACAGACGACGCACACGCCGGCCGACGACCAGAAGCCCTCCTGGCAGGCGGCCACGCACGATCCCGGCCCCCCCGCGGCCCCGGGGGCGGGCTGCAAGTGCAGCCCCGGCGAGCAGGACAAGCAGGCGGTCGCCAGCCCCGGCGCCTGGCACCAGTCGCACGCCGGGTGGCATGCCTCGCAGGCGGTCATGTCGGCGTTCGGCGCCAGCCCCCCCAGGCACATCGACACACAGGTGCCTGACGGGGTCAGCAGCTGGCCCGGCCGGCACGCCAAGCACCGGCCCCCGTCATCGCACCGAGCGCAACCGGCCGGACAGGCCACGCACCGGCCGGCCGAGGGGGTCCCCCCCGGCGGGGGCCCATCCGCCCGGCGGTAGCCCGGCCCGCAGGCATCGCACTCGGTGGTGCTGGCGCTGCATGAGCCGCACTCCGGGGCGCAGGCCAGACACACGCCCATGGTGGCCTCATGGAGGAAGCCCGCCCGGCAGGAGGTACACCGCTCGGGCCCGGCGCATTCCGCGCAGCCGCCCGTGCAGCGGACGCACTCGCCCGACCGGGCATCCGGCCAGGTCCCACCCGGGCAGGGCCCCACCACGCAGGTGCCATCCGGCCGCAGGAGGGCCCCCGGGTCGCGGCACGCGGTGCAGGCCGCCGCCCGGCCCGGCGCCGAGCACTCCCGGCAGGTCCCGTGGCAGGGCAGGCACCGGGTGGCCGGGGCCTCGGCCGCCACCTCCACGGCCATGCCACCGGGGCAGGCCGTGCACACGAAGGCCTCCCCCGGGCCCGGGCTGGCGCAGGCCGCGCACGAGCTGTCGCACGCGCAGTGCCCCCGCTGGTCGATCTGTAGCCCGGCCGGGCAGGCACTCAGGCAGGTGCCCGGATGCGAGGCCACCGACACCGGGCACACGGGAAGCACACAGTCCCCGGCAAGCGGCCCGGTGCACGTCTCGCAGGAGTGGTGGCAGGGCGCGCACTGCGGGCCATGCGTCCGAGCCGGACACTCGGCCGGGGCCACCTGCACCACGAACCCCGTGGCCGGGGCCTGGCGCGACACCAGCAGGAAGGCGGCCGATGCATCCCGGCCGGCGGGCAGGGCCCCGCCACGCGGCAAGGACACCACCCCGAGCGAGCTGTAGTCCAGCCGGCCGAGGGAGGCCGGGTACGGGGCAATGCCCCGCGCCCCGGGCCGGCAGGCGAACTCCCCGGACGGGCAGTGCAGCAGCATGATCCCCACAAAGTCCGGGTGAAGCAGCACCAGGGCCGACGTATGGTCGGGGACCCCTTCCAGATGTAGGACCAGCCAGTGGAAGGCCGCCAGGCCGCCCTGCTCCGACAGGCCCGGCAGCTCGGCCAGCAGGTACGATGTCCCGCTCATGGACCGGGTGCGGCCCTGGGCCTCCAGCCCCGCATGGCCGACCATGCCCCAGTACCACTTGTCGCCGTGGCTCAGCAGGCCCATCAGCAGGACATACTCGGACCCCGGCGACACCCGGGCCCGGGTGTCCCCCGGCGGCATGGACACCATCGCCCAGGCGCTGCCCGGTTCGATGACGAGGTGGGCGCCACCGCCGTGGCCGGGGTTGCTGCCGGCGACATCGGCGCGAGCCGGCGCGATCCCGCCCACCGGGGCCCGGGCCACCTGGCCGGACGCCGAGCCGGCGGGGATGGCCATATTCGGCCGAGACAGCCTCAGCCGACTGTCCCCCAGGCGGACCAGATCCCACGGCTGGGCCACCAGGCTCCTGGAGTGGGTGTCATACCGGTAGATCCAGGAGGCCGGCTGCCCGGTGGCCGGGTGTACATGGGTCGCCATGGCTGGCCGGTCCCAGGCCCGGAGGTGCGGGTCGGCAGCAACCTCGACATCCCCCTGCGGCCCGAGCATGACATAGTGCCGGCCCAGGACCAGGACCGTCGGCGAGAGCACATGCAGCGGCCCGAAGGCGGTGAAGCTCGGCAGGGGCACCTCCCCCGGCTGGAACGCGAGCATGCACTCGTCGGTCGGGCCCGGCCCGGGCAGTGTGCAACCCATTCGCGAGTAGCCCCACGCCATGGTGGAAATGGCCACCAGGGCCAGGTGAGCCGTGTGCTCGGGCTGCCTGACCGGGCCCAGCTCCGCCATGTGCTGGAATTGCGGGGCCACAGGAGGCAGGAGCCCGACGATCGGCCTCACCGACAGCACGGCATTCGGCAGGGTGCTCATCAGCACCGGCATGTCCAGCAGGCCGAAGGTATTGTCACTCAGCCATACCAGCACGTTCACGGGCTCCGGCGCCGAGAGCGAAGCATTCGACACATACAGCCGGTCGCCCTTCAGGAAGGCCCGGGTCCGCGCCATCGAGAGGATGGTCTGCCCGGTGGACGTGGCCGGCAGCTGTGCAAAGTGCGTCGCTACCGAGGGGACGCTCAGCGGCACACAGGCCTCGCCCTGGGGCTGGAACCCCGGGGCGCACTCGGCCACGCAGGTGGCCGACGGTGCGCCGGCCACCGCGGCCGGCTGCAGCAGGAACCCCGCGCTGCAGGCGGTGCACACCCCGGCCAAGCAGGCTCGGCAATGTTCCCCGGGGCAGGGACGACACTCGTCTTTCGTCCGAGGGCGGGGAGGAGCCGCGGTGGGCGGGGGGTGGGGGGGGGGTGGGGGCGAGGTGGGGGCGAGGTGGGGGCGAGGAAGCCGCGAGGAAGCGGTGAGGAAGTCATGTAGAAGCCATGTAGAAGCCATGTAGAAGCCGTGAGGAAGCCATGTAGAAGCCATGTAGAAGCCATGTAGAAGCCATGTAGAAGCCACCAGGACGCCGCGAGGAAAACAAGAAGACACCGCCAGGAAGCCGCGAGGAAGACGCAAGGAGTGAGTCAGTGGGCAGGACGCCGGGTGGAGCATCGACCAGGGACGAGCCGAGGAGACCGCCAAGAAGACAACCCCCCTAAACATAACCCGCAAGAAGAATGCGGCAGGCCCGGAGAAAAGAGGTGCCCAGCCGGCAAGTGCGCACACCGCTGCCCCGACAGGGGGACTTGATGGTAGCCGTCGGCGCAGCCGGCGCACAGCTCCCTCGAGGAAAGCAGCGGCGAGAAGGCCCGCCCCGGGGCACAGGCCCACAGCGAGGGGCTCGGCTTGCACACGATCGACGGGTCATCCCCATGGCAGCCGAATTGCCCCTCCAGGAGGAACACCTGGCCGGAGGCCGCGAGGGCCCACTGCTCGGGGCGGTGCCCGGGCACGCCATCCATCAGGACCGGCAGCGCCTGCATCTTGGACAGGTCCATGCCGCCGGAGGAGCGCATGCGCTGCCACAGCGGCCGGGCCGGGTGGTGATTCGCGCGCCACAGGACCTTCCCGGCCTGGATGACATGCAGGAACCCGGTGGGGGCCGTGATGAGCGGCACCCGCGGCACCGGCGACAGGGACAGGCTGTTCCGCGCGGCCGGCAGCCGATCGATGACCACATCCCGCCAGGCACCGTCATCCCCCAGGCCGAGGTAGATCAGCAGCTCGGTGGCCGTGGCGACGACCAGGTCAAAGCGCCGCGGGTCGGCCGTGAGGTAGCGCGTGGCCGCCAGGTCCAGGACCGGCGCGCCGAGGCCCACCGCGTGCTCCGACCGGTCCGGCCGCAGCCACACCCACCCGGTCGGCGTGGCCAGGAAGAAGTGCCCGGCCAGGCCGGCCGCGCCGGAGGTCCCCGCCACCGGCCACGCGGCCTTCGCCACCCAGCTGCCGGCCTCGAGGGTCAGGACGGCCGCCAGGCCGCCGGCCCCGACCAGCACCTGGCCGGCCTGGGCCCCGGTGGCGAAGGCCGCCAGCAGTCGCGGCGGCGACTCGAAGCCGTACGGCGCCGGGTACCGCTGCTCGGCCGAGGAGAAGCCCACCGCCTGGCCGTCCTGCCAGGCGAACAGCGGCGCGGCCCCGGGGCCGGCCACTCCCACCATCGCCGGGGCGGCCCCCGGCGAAAACCCGGCAAAGGTGACCTCCTCGGAGAGGGCACTCGAGAAGAAGGCCCCCAGCCGCATGTCCGCCAGGAGGGCCTGCTGGGTGGCCTCCCGGTGCGAGAAGTAGCGCCCGCCCTCCAGGGAGTAGCTCACCAGCCGGCCGGCCGGGTCCAGGCGCCCGAAGGCCGAGGCGTACATGGACCCCACGTCGTAGGCCGACCTCTGGGGCTGGAGCTCCGGCATGTCGGCGTCCGGGTCGGCCAGGATGGCCGCCCGGGTCCAGCTCGGCAGCCACGCCAGGCCCCCGAGCACCGACAGCACCAGGGCCACGCACAGCGGCAGCCAGGGCCGCCACGGCGCGGCGCCCAGCCTGCCGAGCTTCGCCATCACCATGGGCGGGCAGGGGAGCGGGGGAGGAAGAGGGGAAGGGGCGGGCCCGCGGCCGGGCAACCTGGCCGCGGACAGCCGGCGGAGCAGGCGGCAGGGGCGGGGAGAGAGAGGGGGGGGGGAGCAAAAGCACGCAGAGCACGGCCTACAGGCGGGCAAGCGGCGGGAGCACAGGGGCGCGTTTGGCCGGAACTGCGCGCAGCCCACCCGGGCCCTCAGCAGGGGCCCTTTTGCCCGCCCGGTCGGGAGGCGCTGGCGCCCGACAGGCGCGTGGCGGCGCACCCCGCCCGGGGAGGGAAGAGGCCGCGAGCGGGCCCACACGCGCGGGAGGAGGGAACGACGGGAGGATGCACACCACGGGCCGGAGGCAGTGTCTGGGGAAGATGCCAATCATCCGCTCTGCCGCGGGGCGAGGCCTCCGGGGCGCCACGCTTGATGGGCCCGCATTCCTGGCCATATTGGCCTCCGTGTGTCATCTGAGTGGGCGCTTGCCTCCCGGTGGCCGGGACACCGGGCGCGCGTGTGTATGCGCTCGCAAACAGGCCCTCCACCAGCAAGCAGACAAACGGCCGCGGCGGGCTGGGCGCCGGCCCGCTCCTGAGGACTTTTGGCTCCGAGGGGGGGTGGCCGAGTCCCCCGGGGACGGGCCCCTGGCGGGGCGAAAAGAATAACAAACCGACGCCCCGCCCAAGCATCGTGCCCCCCCCCCCCAGGCTCCCCAGATTGTCCCCCGTCGGCGGCGCCTTCGAGGACGACGCTCCGGCGGCGGTGGCACAAACGCGCCCCAGGCTCGCGCCCCCGCGGATGTGCCGGGGATTTGTTCCGGCCGCGGTCGCGCCCGCGCGAGCGATGGCGTAATCCCGGCCGGCCACGCGCGGTGAGGCCCAAAAAAAAACAACAACACAATAGCCAGGCGCTGGCCGATGGATCATTTGAAACACGGCCGGGAAATGCGCGACATGACCGGACAATGAAAACAGGCAGGAGGCGCAACACCCGCCCCGGGGCGAACACATCAGCACACGCGCCTGGCCAGGGCCCCCGCCGAGGGGGCGCCGCAGGGGGCCCCGCGCTGCGGCCGGCCGGCGTGCAATTTGACACATGTGGCACCATATTTCGGAACATACCAACACACACACAGGCCGCGCGGATGTTTTTCCCCGCCGGCCCATTGCCGTAGCCGCGATCCGGGTCCCAACGGACCGGAGGCTGTCCTGGTGGCGCCCGCACGTTCGCGCAGCAAATGGGCGCATTTTATATTGCTTCACACAGGCCGGGAAGGGGGCTCCCCCCCCCCCCGCACCCCGCTTGCCGTGTGTCCGTCACTCGGGCTGGTCGGGGGCCGCCGCCGCGGCGCACGCCTGGCGCAGGGCCGCGGCCGAGGGCCGGTCCTGGGGCTCGGGGCTCCAGGCCGCCTGGAGGAAGTCCAACAGCGGGGCCCCCGCGGCGGCGGCCATCGGCTCGGGGATCTTCCGCAGGGACGGCCGCTGGCCATCCAGGACGAGAAGTACAATGTCCGCCAGGGTGCGACCTGGTGATCGGGGGGGGGGGGGGGGTGTTAGGCGAGTCGGGCCGGGCGGTGCACAAAAAAAAGCCTCGCAAGACAAGGGCCCCCAGGCAACGCACCCTTCCACGGGGAACTCCGGGTCAAGCATGCCCACAGCATGTTCCCGGCGCTGAACATGTCCGAAGGCAGGAACAAATCCCCGGCCATGGCGGTGCGGCTCTGGAAGGACAGCAGCACCTGGTGCCCCGCGGCAAAGGAGCGGGCGTCAGAAGTCCGCCCAACCAGGGACCTTGCCCCCCCGGGGCATGCGTGGATGCGGGCACACGCACACACGCACACACGCACACGCACACACGCACACACGCACACGCACACACGCACACACGCACACGCACACACACGCACACA